TATTTTTTATACTAAATACACTAAATACTAAAAATAGAAAATCTTGTATAACCATGGTGGAAATAGCAATTTTTCATAGTGGAAATAGTAGATCTCTATATATATATATTACCTTTACCTTTTGCTTGTGACTTTTATAATTTTTTTGTTTTTTGTAAATCAATAGAATTATTTAAACTTTCAAAAGTATCCAAATCTATTTGTGTAGTATTAACTTTTTTTTCACATTTCTTGTATTTCATATTTTTTTTCTCATTACTAATTTGCTTATATATAAAAAAAAAATGAAATTCAATATTTTAAAATAAAAAATTTTCTATACAGAATTAGGCAAACAAAACAGTATATACTTACAAGATGATGTTGCTTTTTTTGGTAGCATTTTGATTGGTATTATTAAGCAAATGATTAAAATAAAAAAATAAAATGGTTTATATATAGGTATAACTTCAAGATCAAATATAATAAGGGTGTGGTGACTTAGTAAAGTAGTAAAGTTGTCACACCTCCAAGCAGTTGAGCATTGGTTCAATTCCTACGAAGAGCGAAAATTAGATTTTAAGAAAAATAGATTTGGTGACTATTGTCATGGCTGAGAAAACTCGAGACTGTGTAACTGTGGTCATACCAATTATAGTTTACCAGAAACTAGAAGATCTTGAGACATTTGTATAATATAAGAAGTTATACAAAAGCATGCAAGCTGGTTTAGTCAGTGCAAACTCAAGATAAGTTCTTTGGAATTGAAGAAAGCCACAGGGCCAATATGGCAGTAGGTATTCACTTGGGAAGTCCTAAATAAAGAGATAGCACAGATCTTCAACAGTACTATATACAGATTGATACTTGGAGAACTAGTAAAACTAAACAGGACTAAATAGTATGACGTTAAACACATAGGTGCTATGCTTTATTATAAATGTGGTTTTTTTTCAGTTTTCTAATTTCATTAATATTTGCCAGTATCCACTAGCTGAGGTGAGGCTTGAGAACCACTTGGCATTTCTGAAAGTTTCTAGCAGATCATCAATGTGGGGTAAAAGGTAATCGTCCTTTTTTGTTATGGTATTTAATTTTCTGTAATTGATGCATAGTCATAATTTGCTATTTTTCTTTGGAACTATAACTACAGAGGAAGTTCAAGGACTTTTGATTTTATAAATTAATATATTTTCTAATAATTTTTTGATTTCTTTTTCTAGAAAGTCTTGTTCATCAGGTAAGATTCTATAAGTAGGCTGCTTAATAGGCTTTAGGCTCTCAGTATCAATTTTGTACTATGCTTCTATGGTTTGGCCCAGTTGGTTTAACCCTGTTATAAACAAATTGCTGAACTGCTTTAAGAGATAAGTGGCTTTTTCTTGTTGTTCTTCATTTAATGTTTTGATTTGCACTAATTTTTTAATGCTATTTTCAGGTGTTGTGTCGTGGTTATCTTTTTTCTAGTAGTAGATACTTCTTCAATGGATGTTAAGTATATAGCCAGACTATATGCATCCTTCTAGAGGTTTACATAAAGTTCTTCGTCATCTGCAGAGCCATTAGTACAATAACTTTCTACTTCTTCTGTTTCTTCTTTTTTATAATTGTCAAAGAAGTTGTCATCATTATTGCTATATTTGAGAGGTATTTCAGGCTGGTCTTCTCTTGCTTGATATGTTGGAACCTTTATGCATTTATCCAGGTACTGGAGAACAACTTCTTTTCTTCAAATGGAGTAGAGCGTGTACTTTTTAAAACCAATCTATTCCCAGCAGCATCATTTCTTCATTATTTTCAATGACTTGAAAGCTGGTAGGTATTATTATATCCTCGATATACAACTTTAGATCTAGTAGTTTTCTTAACACCCTTTCTCTTGTGCCATTAGCAGTAACTACTACTATGTTGAAGGGTTCCTTAATAGTAATTCCTAGTTTGTTGGCTAATTTTTTTGATAAAATGCTAACAGCAGCTCCAGAGTCTAGTATAGTAAAATAAGGTTGTTTTGGACTCTAACATAATATTTCACTTCTATAGGCCTAGAATTTATTTGGTTTTTATCAATATAAGATTCTTCTACTATTGTAATTAAGAGTCATTTTAGCTCTTCAGCAAGGTTGTGCTTTGTTTAGAGATTTGTAGCATCTGGGCATATGTGGTGTTAGCTCTTTAACTTAGCAAATAATTGGCAATATTGTAGGTTAGAGCTAAATTAACAACAGAAAATCACACCTTTGTCTTGGTAGATTGGTTACAATAGGTTGGGATATAATGTTCATTTGTTGTTCTAAAACAACTTCTTCCATTTGTGTAGTTTGGATTAGTTGCTGTATCATCTGGTTTGGTTCTTGGGTGATTTTCTTTCTTAATTCTTTGTTCTAATTAGAATCATTTTCGAGTTTTTTTTGATGCTTAATGGCATACAATTCCTTCCCAGTCTCATATGTGTAAATATCACATAGGTTAATATTTCTTGGCTATGACATATTGCCATTTGAGTTTATAGATGGTTTTCCAGTGTTTTGGCAGCATTTGAAAAGACAATTTCTAGCAATGTGGCCTTATTCTTCACAGTTATAGTATTCAATACACAATTTGGGGTCTGTCGAAGCTAGGATGGCCTATTCTGATTGGGATGAGAGTTAACGTCAACTCTGGTTGCCAATGAGGTGATTAGTTTTTCATAATTTGCAGCTATTTGTTGCATTTTATGCATTAAAGTATTGATGAGTTGGCTGCTAGAGTCTTCTTCTTTTCTTTCCTTATAGTAATTATCTGCTTCTATTTTTTATACATTTTTGATAGCATTGTCGAGGGTCTCTGGTTCAGCAATGGATATGAACACTGTGATTTTTCCTCTTAGACCACCTATAAACATTCTAATGACATAGATGAGAGGTAGTTTGTTTTCTGAGTTTACTCTTTTTAATAGACTTTTAAATTTGTAAACATAGAGGTCAACTTTTTCATTTTCTGCTTGGGTCAATGAATTTAATTTTATTTGCCATCTATGGTGTTTCTTAGAGGTTGCAAAATACTTGATAAATTCAGGAGTAAAACTGAGATTGGGTTGAGTCTTGTTGTCCCAAAATTAAATGTCATCCTTATAGTCACTATACTAGTTTGCAGTGATTCCAAAAAGATATTCTGAAGTGATGGCAATCTGTCTTGGTTTTGGCCAATTATTTACATTAGTAGCTCTTTCAAATGCCTTGATCTACTCAACAGGATCCTTGTTCTTAGTGCCATAAAATGTTTTTACTTGGACCAGTTGGTTTCATATCTCCAGTATGTGTTTTCAGTATTATCTTCTTAAACAACCTCTGCTGCAGTATCCTGGAATGTCTTGGCAATGTCTTTTAGAATATACTGAATGTTTTCATGATAGTCAGAAGGCAAATAGATACTAGTAGGGCTCTGGTTTTCGAAGTTGAGAAGATCCTAGTGGGCTTCCAATGAATTGCTAAAGGTGTTTGACAGTTTTTTCAAGATAGATGTTGATTTAACTTTGTTTTTTTGTTGAAACATAATTTTAACTGATTTTTTATTAGTATAAAACTTTAATATATAGACTTGTATAGGAGCTGAATATTATTTAGTTCAATCTTACAGTCACTACTTATTGAGAAATTGTAAGTTGTGTCAAAAAAGGTGCTGGTCTAAATAGGACAACTCACTATATACTAACACTACTAAAACTATTCAACTATAATACTATTTCTATAATAACCAAACCCTAATAATGGTAAGGCAATAATTGAGGTATAAAAAGACTTGGTCTGAGTAACCAGAGTTATTGTGAGTTTATAAAGATAGTATATAATACAGATAGATCTTTTTTACTATTGTTTGGTGATTTATTTGTTACTTTTACTTCTTTACTAATACTTAAATTCTTTTATAACAGGTACTGCAGCTAGGTCTCGTGATCGAAATTGACCAATTGAAATAGTGATACAAGGTTACAGTATTACAAAATCACAATTTAGATATAATGATATTGATCACAGATTTAATCAAGGATCATTTATATATATAAAAGAGGTATAACTAATACAGTACAATGTTAAATACAATGAAACAATGTATGAAAGTCACAGGAACAAGGCTATACTATAATGATGAATAATTTTTTCAACAAGAAGGTATAATAGGTTAGTGACAAATACTTCTACTCTAATTTCAAATATTTTGGCACTTCAAGGTTATGGTTTTTATTCAAAATGATATGATTCGAATTCTGAGAGTTATTTTTATTCAAGAAAGAGTCTTATGATATATATACTTTCTTTACATATGTAATGTAATCACAAGAATTCTAACTATTCTAACTATTCTACTAATTCTTATTATTACTATATGTCAGTAATTATAGTGATTAATATAATAATATCTATTTTAAGAATTTTGTTAATCCTAAAAATACTAATTATTCTGTAAATCTGTGAATTCTTGAAATTTTTAGAATTCTTAGAATTTCCAAAATTTATACTATATTGAAAACTGCAGTAATTTTAGGAGAGTAATTTACACTTTTATACCATCCAGTCTGTCTTGGTCCAAAGACTAGCAGTTCTTTAAAAAGTTAGACTAAACTGTGTCTAGGACTGATTAGGACCAACTATTATGAGACTAGACAGACCGATTATTAGACCAATTAAGTGCTATATAAGTAACATCAGTATAATAATTATTATTTATTATTACTCATTATTATTACAGACTCTATTCAAATTATTAGTATATTACTCGTTTTATTACATAAAAGCTAGCTTTTAACACATATTTAAACTAGAGTTCAATCTGTATAAATCCATTATCTATTTATCCATATCTGATTATCCGGATAATCCAAATTGCTTGGATATCCAAATAATTTGACAGGTAATCAGATAATTATCTGAATATTAATAGTAAAACAGATATCTGAATAAATTTAGATTTGGATATTTAATGGATAAATAGATAAATGGATAATGGATAGAAATACTAATTTAAACCTGTTTATTATTATTAGGACATGATAGCAATGTGCACAAATTTTGAGAATCATCTATATGATTTTTATAGGTATATTTTTAATACTAATTTGGTTAGTTGCATGATTATACTAAAAAGTAAATCTATAAAATCAATTTATAATCATAACTAATTATTCATTAAATTACAAGAATAAGTTTAATTTGTTCATTTTAATGGTTGTGTTTCAAGAGAATGTGATTAAATTGCAATCATTTAATTATTAAATAAATTATCCGAGTGAGTATGAAGTTTAATTCGTTTATTTTAAGGATTGTGTTTCGAAAAAATATAATAACTATTGATTATATATTGCCGTAATTAATTTTTAAAAAACTAATATTGCATTCTATGTCAACTATCATGTCTATGACAACGTTCTACGTCAACAGTCATGTTCTATGTTAATTGTTGTGTCCTAAATCATTATAGTGCTTTTGATGTAATATCACTAATCTACTTACATAATCATACATCTTCAAATATCTATATCTATATTTTATGAACCCTATACTATAAGCATATCTAGACAATTTAATTAAAAATATTTAATTTATATATCTAATTAATGATATTAACATTTTACTTGATATTTATTTTCAGGTACTTTCTGGTTATTTCTAAATTTGTTTAAACTTACGAATTTTGATTTGTTGATTGAGGTTTTAGTGTATCCTCATAAGCTACCACATTGCCTATTTTATTCAAAAAAGAAATTGTTTACTCCAGCATTTTTATATATAGTACTTATATTTGTGCTTGAGTGTTATGTATCAGTTCTGGTGCTGTATCCAAAAAATTTTTTATCAAATTCATATTGTATTTATAGATAAAAAAAAATAGAGCTTCACATTTTTTTTAGGTAAATATTTGCAAATTGTTTGCTTTTTTTTTATTTTGATAAAATAATGATAATGATTCATCACACGTGAGTTAACTGTGGTCAATTTTTTTTATTGTACTGACTGAAATTTCATATGTGGTTATTTATCATGGTACCAATTCTATAAATTTATTTTTGATTTCAATTTTTAACACATTTTATTATATGTAAATATATTGTGGTAATAACTAGTAATGCACATAAAATTGTAAAATCATATGCATGATTTTTTTTTTTTTTTTTATATATACTTTTAATACTGGCAAAGCTATATAATGCTGATAAGTTATCTAATTACTATTCTAACCATTGGTGAGAGAACTTAAGAAAATATTTTAGCATAAAGGCCAATTTAACTCCAATAGTGTACAGGGTAATAAATATAAACTTGGAGAAGCGAAGTGGGTTTTTTATAAGTGTTAAGAACTAGTAGAGTGATAGGCATTATAGAGTAATACTTTGATATTAATAAGCAATAATAATGGGTAATACAATAATGGTGATGATATTAAAAGTGATAATAAAGTAGAGATCTTAAGGACTGTGATGGATTGCCAGAGTCAAATAACAGTTGTAAGTGTCATTCTCTACCACAATTCTCACAAGTTACTAATATAAATAGTAATATCTGAATTTGTCCCTTGTGTCTTGTCTTTGAATTTGATTTATAACTTTAATAAACCCTTTTAAAACAGATTGAATTGACTTTAATTTTGATTTTGCTTATTAAGACTCAGATTATAGAATGTTTGTAGAATCAGATATTACTATTTATATTAGTAACTTGTGAGAATTGTGGTAGAGAATGACACTTACAACTGTTATTTGACTCTGGCAATCCATCACAGTCCTTAAGATCTCTACTTTATTATCACTTTTAATATCATCACCATTATTGTATTACCCATTATTATTGCTTATTAATATCAAAGTATTACTCTATAATGCCTATCACTCTACTAGTTCTTAACACTTATAAAAAACCCACTTCGCTTCTCCAAGTTTATATTTATTACCCTGTACACTATTGGAGTTAAATTGGCCTTTATGCTAAAATATTTTCTTAAGTTCTCTCACCAATGGTTAGAATAGTAATTAGATAACTTATCAGCATTATATAGCTTTGCCAGTATTAAAAGTATATATAAAAAAAAAAAAAAAAATCATGCATATGATTTTACAATTTTATGTGCATTACTAGTTATTACCACAATATATTTACATATAATAAAATGTGTTAAAAATTGAAATCAAAAATAAATTTATAGAATTGGTACCATGATAAATAACCACATATGAAATTTCAGTCAGTACAATAAAAAAAATTGACCACAGTTAACTCACGTGTGATGAATCATTATCATTATTTTATCAAAATAAAAAAAAAGCAAACAATTTGCAAAT